TGATCATTATGTTGTGCTGTGATGCAGACTTACATCCAGCAGTTGGTTATTTGTAGAGACATAGATGCTAAGCAATTCAAGTGGAATATCTTCTAAATGTTGGGCAATATCTAGGCTCTCTTTCGTTGCTGATTTCCCCATCTTCTCCTTGTCGCAAATGTCTTTGTAGCTGAGAACGTTTGTGCTGTTGGTGGTAAATTTACACAGTAACTGCTGAAGATGGCTCCCTGCACATCGTTTCTCTTTGTGGTTGGATTACTCTCAACATATGTGTCAGCTTGTATGTCTTGAATTCAGCTATTATTCCTGCCTTTGAGAGCTTGTATACCGTGTTCCAAAACTGCTTTTGAAGCTCCAGGATTGCCTGTGGATCTCCATCCCAAGTCTGAACTGTCCGCCAAAGCAAGAAACAGGTGTATGAATGCCTTGCCTGAAGTATATTTCCTATGACACAGATTGGTAGACTGTATCCTCGAAGGAAATAGCCAATACGTGCACCATGTACTTGATCTTTGGATCACATCCTCTTTAAGTCACCTGCCACAAAAGTAACTTTGTGTCTTGCAGCTTGGAATTGTTTGCGGATGATAAGCAAACTTCCTTCACATATTTCAAGTTTATCTTCATTTGAATTTGTTATCATCAAGGTTGATAGTCCATGTTTGGTTTACAGGAATGTAGGGACGCGTCTTCACATAGCAAACTACAGTGTGCCTTGACTTCACTCTTACTGTGATCTTTGAAAGCTTTTACTGATGGGGTCAATTTTGACGGACATGTCTTAACGTCTGTTCCAAATGTTAAGTCAAGAATATTCAACGCCATTTCCCATATCCTTGTCTTAACAAAGGTGCATTACACGGGCTGTTTTCTCAGTCCATGCTATGACGATAACGTGGTTAACATGTAGTGCCACCATTTTTATTTTTATTATTACTATGGGATATTGATACAGCGCACATATCCACGCAACTAGTACATGCTCAAGCTTGCCCTTGGAGATACTACCTAATATCAATTGACAGGACTCAAGAATAGGGACATTTAACCTCAAATGCTGCTACAGGAACATGTGTCTTCTTTTCGTTCGGGATTCCATCTGGTGAAATTATCAGAGCCAAATTTTGAATTCAGAGGGAAATTCCTCCAACCTTTTTGACACTGTGACCAGGAAGGAAAATTGATAGTACCTTGTAACAAAATGTTGTCGTTGCACACGCTTCATGTTTTCGTTCATGTTCTATAGCTTTCGGTTAGGGGTGGGTATTGCAGAGAATTTTCATATTGCGATATATTGCGATTCGAAAGCATATATTGCGATAGGTATTGCAATATATTGCAAGAATATTCTTTTCATAAAAAAGTACTTTTTATCGAGTTAATGCTTGATTTATAAAGCAAAAACACAACAAAATCACTATGCTTGATTAAGCTTTAATTAAAACTTTTAATCATGTTAAAATGAAGGAAACAAGAAACAGAACAATTTAACATCAACACAGTGGTTACTAGTTTGAACTAGTTTCTCCACTCTCGAAAAATCCCTGAGATTTTAGACAGCAACTTGACCTGGTCAGGACATATCAGGGATCACTGGTCAATAATGAGTAAATATATATATATAACATTCAGATCCAAAACATTGCGAAACACTTGAACAAAAATTAAGAACACAACTTCAAACCGAACTTAACTTGATTTCCGGTGTGAAAAACGGAAATATCCGAAGATTTCCGAGTGTTACGAAGTTTTTCGAATGCATGTCGAAAAATTTGTTTTCGGAGGTTTCGGATTACGTCCCTTTGTAAGTGATCTCTGTAGAAAAGGCGAAAAGAGTCGTTACGTCACCGTCTCATAACTGTTGTGTTCCGGGTGTACCGCATCGAGTACAAAAAGTTGACAAGTACCCATGGCTACTGGTGTGTGTGTGTGTGTGTGTGTGTGTGTGTGTGTGTGTGTGTGTGTGTGTGTGTGTGTGTGTGTGTGTGTGTGTGTGTGTGTGTGTGACCTTTATCTCCGTACGGATAAGATCATGGTGCCTATTCTCGAAAGTGTCCCAGCTAAGACAGATCCTAACTAGTTAGGACAGAAGTTAGGACATCCTAACGTACGTTAGGATAAGACCCATTCTCGAAACGATCCTATCTCTGTCCTAATTTGAGCTACAGATCCTAGCTGGGGTAGTCGGTGAGATAGGAAAGCGAAGGGGATTCCCATAAGACGTCACAGCTTTTTGGGAAAAGCCCGAGCAGACGTCAAAATGTCAAGCTCAAGCGAGATGGCGACCGTAGAAAAGGAACCGATAAAAGTCAACTGGTCTCGGAACGAGATCGATTGTTTAGTTGATGAGGTGGAGAAACATCTATTTTATTTAGCTCATTTTCATCCATTGTGACCAACAGCAAGAAGCAACAGATTTCGAGGGACATATCAAACAGGTGAAACTAATTATAGATCGCAAGCAGGGTGTCCTTCCACTAACCGATCTTATCTAAGATCAATGTTAGCAAGTTACGCCAATTTTACAACCGTCTTAGGTAAAAGTTACACCCGTTCCACTAACCGATCTTCGGCCGATCGTAGCCGGTCCCGATGTTACGATCCGATCCAAGCTTAGATCTAGACTCTTTCGTGAGAGAGAAGAGAAATGCGAGGCACGAGTTATCTCCTTTTGCATAGTCTAGCAGACGATGGAAGTAGTTTTGGAACCAAGTATAAACGTTGAGAAAAAACCTCGAGCCAATATTAAGGTAGTGAGCACCTTGGTTTCAGGGGCAAGTGCGTGTGAACGCTGGGTATCAGGCCTAATATGTGGCTGAACCTTGTCGATCAGAATAGACAAGGCGTGCCGAGGCATCCTCAACCTTACACTCTGTAATACGCACTGATTGCTAGTGGCCGATAAGGTTTGCTATGTACAGAGTTGCAATATTGTTGTACAAATGTATTACACCGACTCCCTCGGCTGTGTTCCCATGACGATAGTGGTCAGAGCCTCACATTTGTAAGCTTCAGTGCAGTGTTTGTTTACATCACAGAAATATACAGATTCATTTCATGGGGGTTTTAGGGGACGTTCACGGTGAAATGCTCGCTCTTCTTCACGTAGAATATGAAACCCACTTTTGTGGTTTCTCTACAATTGATTTTAGAGATACTAAGTTGGTCATGAGCAACTTAGACTTTGGATCTTAACTTTACGATTGAATTGGGTAAGATTGGTTAGTGGAACGGTACTGGCTGTCGAACAGTTATCGCCATTTTCGCGATTTCCTCATTAGTTTCTTAACCTAATGAATTAAAAGTTATCTAGATGAAAGATTACGTATTCACCAATGTGTCCTGCTTGTTTACAGTTGCCGATCGTGTTTTTCTATAACGCGGTCAACAGGAAGCGCGGTAGTACATATTGTGCTTTCCCAACAACTAACAGGAACAGTTATCGCCACTTCCGAATTGTTCATGTTATTTACCAAATATGACATAAATTTCGTAATTAAATTATTGTGGTTCCAACCTTGACATATTGAGCACATTTCCTAAATGGTATTTAATTTAAAAAATGAAATGTAAAAGAGCAAAACCTACTCTCATTGTGAATGTTGACGAATGCTGATATGAGCTGATTTTATGGACGTTATTCACCTCATTTAATTGTTTGGAGTTGTCAGGTCGTACTGAATGGATGATATGAAATTTAATTTGTCGATATGCCTTAGTGAAAGGAAACCACAATGTAAATCACGTCAGATTATGTAAGTTTTAACCATGTAATTGAACCGATTTTGTCAACAGAAGTATTTTCTCTTATTGGTAACTTTTATTGGCTGTTGGTGAATTTCGTAGACAAAACTCGTTCGTATACGCATATTCCGGTGGATTCGTAGACGTTTCTAGACAAGATAACTTTAAAGAAACTGATATTATCAAACATTAAATAATATAGATATCCTTTCGACGTTATTCTAAACTAAATCTAATAAAATATTTTAAGTGGTTCGTTGTGTTTTGTTGTGGCCGATGTTATAACGAAGTTTCATTTAAATAACCGGATGATTTTTATGGATTATTTTTGGTTTGAGTGACTCAGTCCTTTGAAAAAATAAACAGATCTGGTAAGTATTTTTTGTTATTATTAAAGTTCACACTACGCAATTACATGTACATCACAAATTCAATTCACGACGATTGAAATCTGCGCAGATTAGCAGATGTCGGGTGTCGGTGAGAAGATGAAAATGGTAAGTTACGGACAAAGTTATTAGCCACCATAACAAATCATGATATATTGTTTTTGGACAATAGGCCTGCTAATGGTGGACCTGAAAGTGAGTTTTGTTGGCAGAACTGTATCAGTAGTATCACTCGATACACAAGTTATTGCCAAAATACATAATATAAAAATTTCATCATAAAAATAATTTGCATTTTACATCTTAATTGATTTCTTATATGCACCTACGAATGCACCATCTACGAACCGGTTTTGCCTACTAATTCACCGCATCCCCTTGTATTGATGGGGAATAGAAAAAATATCGCGAGATAATAAGATAAGTAGATAACATAAATATAAGTTTTTATTAGAATTTTGTAGCTGTAATTATGCATAATAAATAGAATTAAGAGTATTAGATTATTTCTTTTTTATCATTTAATATCAATGTTATTGGACTGCAGGGCTCCAGATATATTTTCATGATCAGGAGTACGTACTTATTTTTTCAATATAGGAGTCCTGGAAAACAATAAGAGTACATTTAGAGTACTGAATGGAATTTAATGGAGTATCAGTAATCTTGTGTTTCGTTTCATATAAGCACCACAGCATTGCTACTCTTGTGTAAACGGGTCAATAAACAATAAAACAATACTTTTTCAGATAAATACGTCTAAATTATTCTAAATTATTTCATTCCGTATCGTGCTTATTTTATATCCGTACATACGCCGATACGTCCCTCATCTGGAGCCCTGCGGACTGCACTAAACAACTGCAAGTCATCAAATTTTACTTTGTTTATTTTTCAATCACACACACATTGCACAAAATCGCCCCATCCTTTCTCCTTACACACCATCATGAAACCACTCCTCACACCTGTCACACGTTATCCATTCAGTCTCACACTCACTCTCACCAATCGGATCCAGCAGGCCACACTTCTTGCACACGCTTTCGTGATCACTCTCACTCTCATACCCTTCATACTCTCGCGCTTTTGTTTTCCTCACACTCCTCCTTTCAGTCGCCTGCTCCGCTGCTCTCTTTCTCTTTTCCTTTCTTTGTTTCAACGTTCCTCTTTCAATCGCTCTTTCTCTCTCTGAACCTCCATCCTCAACATGACCATTTCATTCCTCTTTTGCTCCCTCAACATTTTCTCCCTTTCTCGGCTTTTTTCAACTGTCTTTCCTCACTCTTTCTCTTAATGTCATCCTTTCTCCTTTTCTCACTTTCTTCTTTTTCCCGAAGACTTTCCACCATTCCTTACCAGTAACTACACGTGCAACTTTTATTGCCTTGCTACTTTTCTTTGGGACTGTGACTCTTGGGGGTTGCAGAATGGTGCCAAGATACACGGGGATTAAGACCAGAAGCAACAAGTGGGTTTATGAGAAAATGTACACATTTGGCACATGATTGGGGTTGTGACTGGGGCGTTTTGGATTGCGTTTGTGTGGCTGTCTGGAACGTTTGGGGTTGTGTATTGGTGGTTGACTGAGATGACCTAGCTATGAATGTAGGAGCAACAACTGGGACTTGTCAATAGCCTCTGGGTCAAAAGGATAGATCACAGTCTTCCTGAACGATTCCTTGACTCTCGCTGGGGAACATACTTGGTCAATGGAATGGTTCAGGAGGAATATGGCTATTGGCAATTCCGAGCCTGGTTGCCAAACCAGAGATTTTGGCTTTAAGTGGCCCAAAAATGTCAACATCGAGAGGTTGGAGGATGAACCTCTAGTTGGAAGTGGCAATCGTGATTGTCCAAAATCAGTAGTACAGGCCTTGCTCTGCCACAGTTTGGCACAAAGATTTTGGTGAGCCAATCTGTAAATAAGTAGGTGTCCATGTACCCGGATTCTGACGCAGCGAATAGCCAGTCACCTGGCACTCCCTCCTTGTAATTTCTGTGTGGGAGGGACTTTGCATACACTTCCATTGTGGGTAGTACTCGGCCACTGGCGCAGACTGTGACGGTTGCTGCTATGTAATCAGAGTCTAATTTAGACCGCGCCCTTGCGCCATTGGCGCATGGTAGTTTAAAATGACGCACTATTCCTTAACCTCGTGGGTCTAATTGGCGCACTATAAAACAATTTTTTGACTCGTATCAATCATGTAAACACATACCTCTCCAACTCTAATATTTATAACTTATTTTCACAATTTCGAGCGATCAATTCGTAATCCCCGCAGTGCTGTACACGCTTTCTTGCATCTAATGCGTTGCCTAAATCAATTCATGGAGCTTAGAATACGTAGCTTATTCAAGTCAGGCTGTTTCGTTATACATTAAGAGTTACGCCCCTTACCAGTGTATTTCCCGAGTCTATATCAAAGGGCGGTAACTGAAGTTGAAAAGTCAGTGTGAAATAAAATATCGGGTGAGAATTCGTCTGCTACTGTCAAGCGGCAGGCTCGAATATATTCGTTTTTCGAAACAAGAACAGAAACTGATACAGAAAATGGCGAAACCGTTGCGAAGTCAAGTGATGACAGTTCAACTTCAGTCATTGAAACGGAACCATCAAAAGCCAATGACACGCCGACAGATGTTGAAACTGAGACTGAGAGCAAAACATCGATCTGTTCGTTCCAAACGAAATGGCAAGTTTGTATCCGTCGGTTCTGTATAATGTGCACTTTGTCTGAAAAATGGAAAACATAATGTTTTCACTGATGGAACTGATAATTTCCGTACTTCCACGCTCAAGAGACACGCTGATGGTGCCGACCATAAACTTGCCGTGCAAGCTGAATCGTTGAAGGGACAAATGAAAATGGCAGTGAAACATGTGCTTAGTGAAAAAGAAAAGGCAGCAATTCAATGTATGAAAGTAGTTCTTTGGATGGTAAAGGAAGCCTTGCCCACATAAAAGTATCCCAGTTTGATGAATCTTTTGAAAGAACTGTGTTGTCCTTTCATTGAGAATTTAAAAATTGGGGAAGGCTGTGGGTCAGGATATACAACATACACCAGCATTCCAACAGCTAACGAAATGGTGTCGGCGCTGGCATCGGTTATAAGGAGAGACTTGGACAATAAGCTCTTCCGTTCCCCGTTTGTAAGCATATTGACTGATGAAAGTATGGACATCACCGTTCACAAAAAGTTAACAATGTATGCAACTGTGACCCAGAGACATTTACTGCATCTACACATTTCATTACTAATTTTGAGGACAGTCTTAATGAATGGCTGTCAGTGAAACAGAGAAAACTGTTTCAAAAGATGTGAACAAATTTACCTAGTGCCCAGTATTACCAAAGTGACTAACTGTTTTCTATTTTTACTTACTCAAAATTAAAACAGAGTTAGAAGATAATAACTTTTATGGCCAAAGCAGCAGTGGTTAAATTAACACTTTAATTGATACAACTGAACAGCTATTTGAATGACAAAGTCAATAAAATTGCTGAGTGAATGCATTGTCTCCCTTGATTTTTTCTGATGACCCACCAACGATGGCAAATGTCCCACAAGTTTAATTACCCATGGGCCCAGGGCCCACTTCATCTGAAAAGTAAAGTAGACACTGTGTGATCTGAAGTGGAGACCGACTGCTGGTACGCATGCTCCCCCTGGCTGTGGTCACTCGCTCACGGCCCATCTCCTTACCAGAAAAGCCGGACTCGTCTACATTAAAGATCTGTGACGGTTTATCGGTAACACCAAGTCTGTTCATTGTTTGGTCGAGAAGATTAAAGAACTGGTCCATAACTGTTTGATTAGACATCCTTGTCCTGCACCTGTCTTGACGTTCCGGGCGTCTCTTGGAGCTCGGGATGCCTAGAAACTTACAACGAGGGTCTTCCAGATCTGTACATAATCGAAGTTATGAATGATCTGCTTTCTGATCTTGTTAATGGAAAGCCTTGGTTAGCCATGTAAACTAGGTAGTTTGTCAAACGTTTTTCTTCTTCATCTGTAAGCATTGCCTGAGGTCCTGGTTTACCGCCTAACACCTTCATTGTTTTACCCTTAACGTGATCATCCAAAGTTTTACGTGGCACGTTGAAAATACGTGAAGTTTCTGCAATAGTTGCTTTCCCCGCCTCCACATGTTTTAATGTGATGGCCAAATTCGTTTGATCATATTGCTTCCTTACTTTTTTAACAGTCAACATCTACAAATAGAATAAATGAAAATGTTTGGAAATTTTTTCTTATAAACATTATCCTATTATTAATTTGGAAATATTAAACATGTATATGAATGTAATGATATCATAAGATTAATTAAAATATCCACCCCAATTCATATTTATTTGAAGGAAATAGTTCCAAGTAGACATGTGAACTTGCTTGTCTCCTCACCTTATCAAATCATAAACATATTCACACACTTTGTTCAACATGGTTTTGTGTAAATTGAAATAAAAAGAAATTTCTTTTCAAATCCAACAGCTGACGATCCTAAGAAGAGTTTTAATAAAAGTTGTCCTACGGAAAGTAGCATTTTAAGTTCGAATGAACTGAGTCTGGCACTCAAATGTATATCTCTGCATGGTGATCAATGTCTTACAAATAGCGTGTAACCTGCTGTTTGAGTGAACTAAATTGGAATTAAATTGGGTTTTGTTCCTGTTCATATGCATTCTACCATACGGATGATAATTATATAAAGTGGTGTGCATTGGACCAGTCGTCTGCTACACAGGCCCCGACTGCGGGTCAGAAAATCGATAAACTAAGCCCTGGTTTACCATCCAGCCCCCCTACTATATAACATGTAAAGGTTCATCAGAAATACGGTGACCTGATCGAAAACCGAACAATTACGCGCACGTCAATGAATATATCGTATTTTATAGGTCTCACAAGTATCAAAAGCTCTTGTCCATATATCCGATGTGTGTAGGGGCATATACATGCGCTTTCCGTGGGGATGCATTTGATGGTTTTTATTAAATCGCCAAAGACCGAGTTGCTGTGCCGGAAGTATACAAAAATAGGTCGTCAGCGCTTGACTTCACTACCTCCGGCGATCTGATTGGCTAACACATTACACTGAATGAATGGATTATTATGTGTTTCTATAAAAATACTTCTATAAAAAATTATTCTTACCAAGATAAAACATCAGACAGTGACATTTTGGATGAAAGACGTTTGAGTTTCCCTCTCATTTTCGCACGTGCATTTGTTGTCATGTTATTAACCAATTTGATTGCGCTGATGACCAGTATACTTCCGGCACAGCAACTCGGTCTTTGGCGATTTGATAAAAACCAACAAATGCCTCCTACACACATCAGAGATATGTACAAAAGCTTTTGATATTTGTGAGACCTTGAAAATACGATATATCGGTTGATGTGTGCGTAATTGTCCTGCTTTCGATCATGTCACCATATTTCTGTGATGAACCTCTACATGTTAGATAGTAGGGGGGGCTGGATAGTAAACCAGGGCTTAGTTTATCGATTTTCTCACCCGCAGTTGGGGCCTGTGGTCTCCTACGATCAGCGGAAACCACGGGCCGACATCTAAAACTTTGGAATTATGTCTTAACTTCTTAAGTCAAAGGTGAGTTTTAGAACTTTCGCCATTATTTCTTAATTCACTACGATAATCTACTTTAATTATCAGAATTAAATAGCATTTTTGCCAATCGTCTGTCTTTGAGTACCAAACAATCGTCTGCTTGCTAGCCATTGCAGCCGACCGCCGACTATGCAGCGATTTAGCTGATTGTCTCGCTCGGAGACAAGAACGTATACGTAGAAATGTTCAAATTGTGCTGTAATTATCTTTTACGTGAAATTCAATAAAAAACTATAAGAAATATTGCTTTGTAATTAAAAACACAAGTTTATATGTCGGTCTAACTTTTAGGATTTTTTATGAAAGTTACACACCCACTATGTGGATCAAGTGACATCCCCCCGACCCCGCTATTCAAAGTTTAGAGAAAAACAAACATTTTTCTATCGATTTGAATTTTGGTTCACTTACCATGGAAATAGTTTGGGATATTCAAGATCGTTCCGAAATTGCCGGAACGAAATTGACACGATCAGATGTGCGCATGCGCGATAACGAGGAAGCGGCGACAACTGTTACGCGGCGATAACTGGTCGCCAGCCAGTATGCCGATCGTAACGTCACGCTAAGATTGGGATTTTAGGGGTTTACGATTGGCATAGGGCTAAGATCGGTAAGTGGAACGGCACCCTGCTCGTAAATGTAAACAAATTAATGTAAAAGTAGGACTCATTTGCTCTGTTGGTCATTTTAGTTAAATTTGTTATTTTCACAGGCATGTACTAATTGCAATTTCTCCTCTCGAAAAATAACTTTATCTGATTGTATTTTTAGCAATCCCACAGTAATGGCTTATGTTATTGATCAAAATATTTTGATGAGTGAATTTCAGAAAGACATTAGATAATTTATCCTGAGCTCTGCATGAGTACTGATATGATTTCATTCAATCCGTTCTTTTGATAATAAATTATACTGTTTTACAGTATATTACATGGAACTAAAGTTTTCATAATTGATTTGAAAAGATTAGAATGTTTGCAGTGAAGTACACATTGAATGTTGAAATCCTATTGTATTTTGTTCACAGAGTCAGTGCTTGCGGGTCCTCTACCAGCTCATCAGAAGATGTGAAAAAGAAATAGACCACTCTAAAGTAAGAATACATAAAATATAATATTCATGTACTAAATTAGAAGAGTAAACCTATCTAATATATTATAAGGATGCCTTCAGTACTGGGGCTTTAACTTTGACAAACAAGCTGAAACAAAGAACTAACCTCCAAAAGGATAATTTTATTTACTAAAAGTCTACCAAAATTGAAAATGTACATATTTAGTTTTACAATAATTCAGTTTCAGGCTGATAATTTTCTTCAAAGAAATGAATTTATCAAGATCAATGTTATTTGAATCTAAATGATCTTAAAGATGGAAATAATTGATGTAATGTACTGTAATCTGGAACAGGAGCGACACAAGGAGGAAAGCCGGTAGCCTAAAGAAGGCTATATACCAGACCGGCGGAGGGCCACCACCATCTCCACTGAGTGACATTGAGTATAAGGTATATTGCATAAATATATATGTGTATGAGGAAACTTAAGTAATGAAATTATAAAATTATGAATTTAAAAACTTGTTTATTACTGGATGTTGTTGATATGAGAATGTATAAATCTATGATATTTTCAGTATCATGGTACTGTCACTTCTTTGTACTGTATACCTGCACATCTATCAAGTTTTTAAATTTTTGCATTGTCTTGCCTGTAACAATGTGTATATTCCGAATCAAATTTGTGCTTTTGTTTAATTACTGGGAATTTCATTTCATTTTTTACAGGTGGTGTCCCTCATTCCATCAGTACAAATCAATGGTTGCACAGGGGGGCTGGATAGTGAAGACTTGTCAGGTATTCATCCGTTATCATAAAACACTTATGATATCCAAGTGATCACCAAGTAATGTGTGAAATTAACGTTTTGGATAAGTGACAATATAGCCTATAGCATAAAGTGCATCATGATAAGTTGTGCCCTAAATTATTTGCAAACAAGGAACTTACCATTGTTTAAGTGTCAAGTTCTTCTTTAATATTCCAAATAAATTTATATATGTTTTCTTAAAGAATACACTTGCAAAGGTATTCTGACATATAAAACATTAAGTTTCAGCCTTCTCAGGATTGGGCAGTGTGTGGGGTGATGCAGCTGTTCCCTCGACTTCAACTAGCAGCAACAGTTTGAATGTTGACTCCACCCGGACATCACCTATCCTCCTTTCCTGCACTCCACCTCGACAAGCAGCACCACCAACACCGCATGATCCACCAGCATCGTTCCAATTGTCACCAGACATAGGTAATAATATCACATCGCAAATCATGATAATTATAGATTTAGCTCGTTTAGATTTGTTGTCCCCCGCCGCAACGCGGAACGGGGGACTATGTATTCAGCGGGGTCCCTACGTACGTCCCGATTCTTGTTAACGCGATATCTCATGAACTGTTGCACCCAATGTCTTCAACTTTGCTGACAGCCTACATTGGGGGATTATGTAGACACCAGTCGATTTGGGTGACCTTGACCTTATTTTCAAGGTCACCACGACACTGACCACTTTTCAAACTGTTGTTAACGTGATATCTCATGCACTGTTGTATCCAGTGTCTTCAAATTTGGTGACAGCCTACATTGGGGGATTACGCAGACACCACTGTATTTAGGTGACCTTGACCTTATTTTCGAGGTCACCACGACACTTTGAACACTTTATAAACTCTTCTTAACACGGCATCTCATCGACTGTTGTACCCAATGTCCTCAAATTTGGTGACAGCCTAGATTGGGGGACTACGCAGACACCAGTTGATTTTGGGTGACCTTGACCTTATTTTCAAGGTCACCACGACACTTTTCACACTTTTAACTCTTGTTAACGCGATATCTCATGTACTGTTGTACCCAATGTCATCAAATTTAGTGACAGTTTACATTGGGGTATTACACAGACACCAGTTTATTTGGGTGACCTTATCTTCAAGGTCACCACGACACTTTGACCGCTTGTTAAAGGCGATATCTCATAAAACATTGCACCCAATGTTTTCAAGTATGTTGACAGCCTACATTGGGTGATTATGCAGACACCAGTCATTTCAGGCATCTTGTATGTGACCCAAAAATAAAAAGTAGTAAATAGAGATATTCCATTCTTTAGCGGCGGGGGACATTGCCACATCAGTGGCAAACACTTGTTGTGAAACAAATTGGACAATATACCCCAGACATATATATAGAGGATATTTGGTGTTTTCAGTGTGATATCACTTTCTCCGTTCCTCAATGAGAGATCAGTGATATTACAATGAAAGTAAATAGAAAATATGTCCATTCTTGACAAATACAATGTTTATCAGTCTATAAATACTTAACATTATAATAAATTCCAAGATTTAACTGCCATATTTCCAAGTTCGAGTTCAATACTATTTACAGTACTGGAAGAGTGTATGTACTGCATTTATAATTTGATGCGGTCACAAAAAAAATTTAATGTTATTACATTCAAATTCTGCAATATATCATTGAAAACAGTTATAGTGTGAAGTTTCTTTGTAGTTTCAAGGCCTCTGAGTAAGAAACAAAAGACAAAAGTTCATACACATGGTAATTATTAACCTTTGTAAACCTTTGTAAAATTTTGTAATGACTGTATGGTAAGTTTTTTCACAAATGAAATTGTCTCATATGTTAACAATGTGATATACCAGTTACAAATTACAAGCTACAGTGCAATCAATGAGTATGGCAAGTAAGTTCCTTTATAGTAAAAAAATACAAAAGGAAAAACAAAACAATGGTTTCATCTGAAAGAGTGGAAATGTATTGTGGATATGACATGATTGTTGTGTTTGTAAGGAGACAGTACAGCCCAGGCAGCTGAAGTGGTCCAGCTTGAGAGGGAGAAGGTGGCCATCATGCGGGAACGCTAGCAGATCGACAGAGAGCGCCTGCAAGTTGAAAAGGAAATACTCACTGAATGAGAGGGCAGGCACATCAGACTTTAAATCCCATCTCACCAATCATCACATTTGACTCCTGAATGTATATACAATACTTTGCTATTAAGAAATTCTAAGAGTGAGTGAGTGAGTGAGTTTAGTTTTACGCCGCACTCAGCAATATTCCAGCTATATGGCGGCGGTCGGTAAATAATCGAGTCTGGACCAGACAATCCAGTGATCAACAGCATGAGCATCGATCTGCGCAATTGGGAACCGATGACATGTGTCAACCAAGTCAGCGAGCCTGACCACCCCGATCCCGTCAGTCTCCTCTTACGACAAGCATAGTCGCCTTTTACGACAAGCATGGGTTACTGAAGACCAATTCTTACCCGGGACCATCACGGGTCAGAAATTCTAAGAATGAAATTAAATTAATCCATATTGTCATAGGTGGGGATGTGAGTAGTTCAAGCTTGTTAGAGTTGTCCTGTTAAATTATCGAGTGCCAATGGTTGTTAATAATTTGTATGAAATCATTCGTTGTTACAGAAAAATATGTACCTGAACTGCAGGCTAGAACTTTAAGAGCTTTCTGAACCTTACAAATATCATTAATACACTAAGAAAGAGTAATCCCAAATAGAACATATGTTACATTACAAATATCATTACACAATTTTCATGTCATAAATCTTAGAAAGAGAAATGTTCATGATTACAATAATATTTTATGTCATTAATGTAATGAAGGCTATGTCAAGGATGAGTTTCATGTACTTTTCATTTTAAAAAGTTTTAATTGTCTTAGAAACAGATACCTCCCTATGTTCACAACTTTGTATTATTTTTGCAATTAGAAGTTCATTTATGTATGTATATTTCTATTTAAACTATATTGTACAGTGTAAAACAACTACATGTGTACTGTAATAGGTCATATGGGCTAAAATACTGAATAAAACTTTCCTGTGTCTGCTGATATAATGATTTGGTGAAAATGAATCTATTTATTGTACCACCGCTTACAAAGGAGTGGGTATACATGTCCCTAAATTGTTTTTTCACTCAATCCGTGTCATTGTTTATGCCATACATATCTCAAACACCAATTGTTATTTTACGGAATATTTTACTGAAACATTCCATAGATGGTTCAGTGGTGTCTTTTGATGAAATTTATCACCTAAGACCTATTTTCCTTATCTGCAGAATAATGTTTTGATTGATTACTAGATTTAATTTTACATTGCTCCAATGATTCATGATATTGGCAATTGACAAACTTGCAATGTTGTGAGGTACAAATGTATTTTGATTATTCATATGGTGAACTTGTTATTGCATTGAATTCTCTTGTTATCATATTCTGAAATATATCCTTGAAATTAATTATTAAGATTGAAAATATTATATATTTTGATATTTTAATGATACTAACTTTATTGAAGAAATAAAATGTTTGGATGAAATTGGTTATAGAATTTACACATTCATTTGATGTATATATGAAGTTGAAGTTGGTGCTTTTGGATAACCCAGTCATTTGAAAAAATGAACCAATTTAATGATGCTTTGCAATGTTCCTATTGACAAATACAATAAGTCCTTATCAAATCACCAGTGTACATTCATAACATATGATGCATTTACTTCGTATATTTTCCATTGTTAAATTTATTAGAAGATTATATTCTTATAAAAAAAAATCAAAAAAATTTCATGTAGACATCTACAAGGAAAACAAATGAACTGTTGTAAAAAGTTACCATATATGTCAGTTGAAAGTGCTTTCTATCAAGCGTTTCCTTGTCTGGTGTCCATCTCTAAGTGGACCGTCATATGGCTGGTCATTGCCATCCTCTGCAGGTAGGGCTGGCATGGGTGGAAGGCGATGGTTGATACACAGGTTGTGTAGCTGGCACACAGCATACACGAGCCGATGACACTTGTCTGGCTTGAAAGGCAGGCAGCCCGTTGACTTGAGTAGGCATCTAATTATTAAAGAGAACCTACTACATTTATGTTAAAGCTATAACAATTTATCGATACCTCAGTAATTGAAAGTTCATTGTATACATTTTGGCGCTATATCTGTAAAAAGATAGTCTCCTTATACTATCAGACAATAAATATATTGATAATTTAAAAACTCGCGCAGGACCTATGAGACTGTTAAATATTGGTTGGTTGGTTTGATGTTCAACGCCGCACTCAGCAATATTCCAGTTATATGTTGAAACGAACTAAATTGTACAAATTTCAGTAAAAGGCTGGAGTGAGTGAGTGAGTGAGTGACTTAATATTTAACGTCACATCGGCAATATCTCAGCCATATCGTGATGATATTTATACAAAATAAAGAGAAAACATTTTGAAGATTAAAACCTGTCGACGATGGACAGTAAAAATACTAGAGAATCACAAATATGAATAAAACTAGCGAGCAAAGCTAAAACATTTCAATTAAAGAGGACCATACAGTATAAAACACGGGCTATATAGATCGCCAACAACTGAAGGTAGATCACCATACTAGGAACCATGGGGACTTACATTACTTTTGCTACCTGCATGGACCCCAGTTGGATTTACACCATCCCTTCAGCCGCTGGCGATTGTAGGGAAATTTAGCTGGCAGTTAAAAGAACAAAGATACAAAGTTTAAAATATGGTAAATTTACATTTTACTTTGAAAGTTTCGGGACTTACCTACCCTCTCAGGAGGACAATAATTTTACGCTACTTCAACCCCCTTTGAGGTCACAGCCACTAACAATCTCAGTTACTAATCTAAACTACCAACAATAAAATATTTAACTATTTACAGATCAGTCAACAAATCTAATTCTCTTAAAAATTCAACTATTACATGATAATTAACATTATAAAAAAGATCCTTTAATGTTTTGACATTGAAATACTTATCCCTTGTGATGGAATATGCAACACAGTCAGGCAGGACATGCTTGACTGTGATTCTTTCATCACAAGGGATGCAAAACGGAGGATCTTCGCCTTTCAGTAAATATTCGTGAGTATATCTAGTGTGGCCAATGCGACATCGTCGCATAATGACCTCTTCAAATCTGGATTGACAACCCACGTAGGTGTAACCAATATAAGGTTTTATTTCATGTCATTTATTTATACCTACTTGGGTGTTCCACTTCTTCTGTATCAGATCAC